TGGTTCATCATTCGTTGATATGTGGCTCCCAAATTTTTCAGCCCAAAGAGCATCACATTATAACAGTAATTTGCCTTTTCTGCGATGAAAACAGTTTTCTCCTGATCTTCAAGGTGCAGTGGAATTTGGTTATATCCCGAATAAGCGTCCATGAAGGATAGCATTCGGAACCCGGAGGAACTATCAACCAACTGGTCGATGTTGGGCATTGGGTATGCATCCTTAGGGCACACCTTATTTAGGTTAGTGTATTCTGTGCATACCCTCCACTTTCCATTTGGCTTCTTCACCATGACTACATTGGACAACCAGGTTGTGTATTGTATTTCCCTGATGAACCCGACCTCTAGTAGTTCCTTAACGTGATCCTCTAGCACCTGTCGACGCTCTGAACTTAACTTCCTCTTCTTCTGTGCCATTGGCTTTGAGCTGGGATAAACAGCTAACCTGTGACAGCAAAATTTTGGATCCACCCCTGGAATATCTGAAGATTTCCAAGCAAAGACGTCATTATAACTCCTCAAACAGGAGGCCAGCTGGACTTTTTCCTCATCCGTCAACCCCTTTCCTATCTTTGTTGTTTGTCCTAGTGCTCCCACGGTTACCTCCTCTAGCTCTCCGTCAGGTTCCGACCTTGGCATCTGAGTTTCATCCCTCATATCCAATTCCACCATATTAACTGAGCTCCGCTTCGAAGATTGGTAACCACTCTGCTTAATCATAGCTACAGATCTGAAGTAACAATCTCGAGACTCCTTCTGGTCCCCAGCTATGGTAAGCACCGTACCCTGCTTACCAATCATCTTTAACTTTTGATGCTTGGTTGAGACTAGCATGTCCCAATCATGAATTGTAGGTCTTCCCAAAATCACATTGTATTCGGATGGGAAGTCGGCTACAATGAACCTTACCCTCTCGGATTTGTACGCCTCCTTAGTCCCCAATGTTAATCGGAGATCAATATACCCCTTAGGAGTAGTGTTGCGGCCATTAAACGCAATTAAAGTCGTGTTGCAAGTCTTCAAATCTTCTTCGTCCAAATTCATCTTCTTAAATGCGTGCCATAAAATTATATCGGCACAACTCCCATTGTCCAGAAAAATCTTCCTAACTCTGCAATTGACAAGTGTTCCTGTAATCACCAACCCATCAACATGTCCTGGCACTACATCCTCGAGCTCCTTCTTTGTGAAGTATAACAACGGCTGCTCTAGTTCCTCTTCCTGTTTAAACTTGGGGCGCTCTCGAATGGAAAGCACCTCACGCAAATATTTACGTCGAGCATTCATTGTGTCGCCACCACCACCAAAAGCTCCACTGATCACGTTGCACTCGAACTCCGGCTCCTGGAATTCGTCATCTTCTTTAGCCGGCTTCTTACCTCGTCCTTCCTCTTTAAACTTCTTATCCTTGGGTGGGCTTCCGAGCCGCCCCCCTCTCCTCTTCCTATTTCTCCATCCCTGCGTACGGATCAAATACTGCCGCAACTTCCCCTCTCTAATGTACTTCTCAATTGCATCTCTGAGGTCCCAACATACATTCGAGCAAAAGGAGAATCAAAGCAAGAGAGGAAGAAAAACAAAGTAGGTTGAAGCGCATACCTGGTGCAAGTGAAGGATGCGAGAGGTGGCAAACGACGAGAAGCTGGCGAACTGAAGGAAGTCTTTTGGAACGTAATACAGGAAATGTTGAAGGAAGTCTCTCAGCGTAATGCAGCAAGTAAGAAAATAAGAAAGGAAGAAGCGCAAATCAAATAGATGAAACCCGCGAAACCAAAGGTCAAGGGTAAAAAGGTAACTTCGCAAGGAAAGACAGTTGAAAGGACGCTGGGGCAGTTGCAATAAATGAACGTTTTCTGGTAATCCGGGTACTTGAAGCGCGACTAACTTGAACCGATCCAGGTACTTCTGTAGTGTCTCCCCTGGTCGTTGATTAATTTTCCCCAACGCGAATTCTGACTTCGGCTGCTTCTTACTGGTGGCGAAGTTCAGCAAGAACCGCCCACCAAACTCCTCAAAGGATCTGATGGATCCCGCTGGTAATGACGAGAACCACGCCTGGGCTGCACCGGTTAATGTAGTTGCAAAAAGCCTTGTGATCAAGGGTTCCTCTATCCCTTTGATGTACATAGCTGTATCAAAGGCATCCAAGTGTACCTGCGGATCCTGTGTTCCGTCATATTTAATCAACTCGGATAAATTCGGATTTTCCGGGTATGGAGCTTCTACAATCTCATCCGCGAAGGGACTGTCGTTGTACTGCCCCCTGTTGTACTTTCTTCGGTATACCCCGGTTACGTCATCCGGAGCCCGGGTGATGGGCCCCTGACAGTGGATCTCGGCCGGGCGCTGTGGGTCTGGTACATGCCGGGGTTGCTGATTGTATCCAGCGTTTCCGTGGCCCAGAGGGTGCCGTGGCTGTTGGCGTGAACCCGGGTGCACTAGGGTTTGTGGGACGAACCCGGGTCCGACATTAGCCCTTGCAGGACGGTGGGTGCGTTCCTGAGTGTCCTGCTGGGGGTTTGCAATTTGCAGATCTGTCACCACCTGCGCGATGGCCCGCTCGGGGTCTGGATTTGTTGTGCGCCACAGCCGATCCTCCAAATCTCGGATCTGTCTTGCATCCGCTTGCCGTTGCAGCTCATTACGCTGTTCCAATTCCTCCATCCTTCGAAGTACGGCTGCCATAGCTAAACTCGTCACCCGCGAATCCGGGGCTTCTGCAGTTGGGTCCTCAATTGGCTGCAACCCTGGGAGGTATGGGGCATCTGGGTTGACCGCGGGAGTTGATGTTGAATCTGAATGCACGTCACTAACGTGCACCGCATCTGGATCTGGGATCTGCGGCATCTGCTGCCTTGATTCCGCGGGATCTTCCCTAACAAAAGGAGGAACTTGGAGGTTTGACGTCGAGGGTTGACGAAGACCACTCCTTGTTGTTCTCACCATCGATTTGATGTAAAATTTAAGTATAATCGATAGATTCATGAAATCAACGGTTAGGATTTGATGTAAAAAATTTTAGTTTGATATCGGTGTCAAAAGATCTTACCCCTATATATATTTTGTTAATGTTGTCACTTGAATTACATTTTGTTCACTATTTATACTATTTTAATAATTAAATAAAGTACAATTTTTTATGCTATGCTCTCCTTTATTTTTTAACAAATCAAACGAACCATTGATTTGTTCTAAAAAATAATAGAACAGGAATATATCTATCACAAATTTTTTTTTCTTTAATTATTAAAGGAATATATATTTATTTATTTTTTAAATAATTTACTGCAATTAAAATTTAAAAGGCAGTGTCTGCTGTTGAAAGATAAGTTGACAACAATAAAGTGGGCTAAGATTAAAAAGAAGAGGAAAAAAGAATGAAGAATTTAATTGAAGTACTTATAAATTGATTTTACTGCAATTTTAAATTCTATTATGATCATTTATTTTTTATTTATTTATTCAATAAACATTGGAATTAAATAAAAGCTTTAGATGCCAAATTATGTTGACTATAGTGGACCTTCTGATCATGATAACTGCATAACCTAAGTTCAAATTGAGGAATGTTCTGTTCGTATACAATTTGTAATTTTAAATCTTTCTAAATAAAAATTTGAGACATAGGTAAAAGTTAAAACTGTTATCTTTTATAAAAGCAAATATAAATCGGAAAGGTAATGCTATGTGCAAGATGCTGATAAGAATTGAAAGTAGATATGAATTGTAGAAAAAGTATTGATAGAAAAGAGGATACTCATATGTATCTATGTGAAGCAATGCTTGTGAACCAGATTTTACAACGATCTTCAGGTTAATGTACAAATCATGTTGCGTCCATTACCAGAAGGGCCATAATTACTGCACTGTCCGTAAGGAAAAAAAAAAGTATGCTCATCACTCAGCACTATGTTCTAACCGTACACCAAAATGTTCGAAACTATCAACGTGAGGAATGCAAACAAACATATGTTAACTCGGTGATATTGAATTATAATCTATGAACTGCTTTCTTCGTCATCCTCCCAATTCCTTGTCAATCCTCCCACAGTATAGGAATGCATACATGGCTTTCGGAGTTGGACATTTTGTCAACTGTAAAATTTATACTCACATTCATACAGTGAACAATCACACAAGATCACATCCATAACTGACCAGTCAAGCAAGATGGCTATAAACTCCCCTCCTTTTTTTTTTTTTTTTTTTTCGAATCCAGATTCCTGGACTTAAACAAATGTTTAGGGTATGCCCCCTTCCCTATGCTTAATAATAGGGAATGCAAGATTAAAACATGAGTAAGCCTCGTTATCATGCTTTCCTTCTATATATTTTTTTCCACTTTTTTCTATTTTGTAGTAACAAATGGTAAGCAACAAAGTTTCTAATATTTCTGAAGCGAAAAGTGTTTGTTATTTTAAAATGATATAAAGTTATGTCATTTTAAGAGAGAGACAAACACAGAAAAAAAATTTATTTGAATTTTAAATAAAAAAAAATCACCAACTTTCTCTCTCCCATGATTTCCGTTTTTCTGTATCTATCTCTTTCCTGAAATGACATAACTTATGTCATTCAAAATGACAAACACCAAACCCTATTTCTGAATCATTGTCTGTTGGGTTAAGTGGATGGATGCACTTTAAAAGAACACAACTTGTGTCATCTCAGTGACTTACGCAAAGTCTGACCGGGTCAGACTTTGTGTAAATTTAAAAAATTGTTTTTCTTTTTCTTTTTTTAGATTACACCGTGACTGTGAAAAAAGAAAAAAAGAAAAAAAGAAAAAGTAATTTTTCAAATTTACAGCGATCAAACTTGTGTTATGTGTTTTTCCCTTCTCCGTTTGCAACTTCCTTTTAGAACATAGTACAGCACGAACGTTCGTGTATCCAAGTGGAAGTCCTAGTATGTGTGGAATCAATTTCTCTTGATCACACACTCTAAACTAACATAAATTGCTCTCGTGTGGTGGTCATTGAATCAAAAGAATGCAAGAGTGACAAACATCACATGAATCCCATTGCAGTTTTCCTACCGACAAACATCATCGTAAATAACATGAAATTTAAAATAAAAAACCATAGCGGCAAAGTGACAAACAGCACATAGGCAATTGTAAAAAGCAAGGGAATTAATTGATGTGTACAAAGTTCACTTCTTTTTCTTGCCACCCTTGGAAATGCCCTTGCGCCTTGAGGGAATGACAATCTCTCCTTTGAGGACAGGAATCTGCATAATCTCCGAAAGCTCACCGTACTTCTTACGGAACTTCTCAACCTGGTCGTCGCTAACCGTAATTGCCGAACGGTTTCCGAGGTAGAATGGGTGGTTCCCCGACCACACGTCAACCACGTACTCCTTACGGGTCCCACCTGTCGTCATAACCAGCTCCCCGCTGCAATACACCTTCGCGTCCTCGTAGAATTTTGGGTGTATGTCCTTCTTCCTGCACCACACTCCGCAATTCTCCACTCTCCTCACCTGAAACATTAAACACTTAAATATAAACATCTTTAAATAGTGTAACAGTTCGGAATGTTATGGAATTTCCAAACAATTAGTTACATTCTTTGTGGAGTTTGCAGGAACCGGAAGAAGAATTTTGCCTTGCAGGAACGTGTTGGTTACACACTGCGCCATTTTCAGGGATCGATTGGGGATGGGAATCAGGGACGAAGTGGATGAGATAATGTGCGCATATGTGGTCGTTACCAAACGGGCCTTCGTGATGGCTCAATCTATGCTATGCTGCACAACATTTTTTAATCTCATTCAGCCCAACTAGCCCATTAACAAATTGATGGGCAAGACCCGAATTATTTATTTAAGCGATCTATTAATCTCGTATCAGTGGAGTCTATTATTTGTAAAACAAAAAACAAAACAAAAATTAAAATATTGTCTCCGTTGCATGAGATAATTATCTCATGTAACATGAGATAATTATTTTCCTTTATTTAAAAGGATATCTAGAATCGGAATTTTTATTGACTTTAATAAGAATAGTAGTTTTATTGTAAATTTAAATAAGTTTTTACAATTATCAATATAAAAATATATTTTTGATGTTTAAGTTGAGCTTTTTAACAGACATATCAGACTTGTTCAGGGTTTTCATGATAAGTATTATATTTTTTTATAATATTTTTTTATCCCTGTACTTCATAATTAAATGGAGTGGTTGAACATTAAAAAAAAGAAAGATATAGGGTTGAAATAACACACATCTTTTTTCTGCGTATGAATGTTTCAGTTCATTTTTTGGGAAATAGTTATTCTTAGATCCTATCTTATTTGTCTCTCCATATCTTTGGTTTTACCTGCTTTGTACATGACCTCGCTCTAGACAAGGAGAAGCTAACATTCAAATCCTTCAAGTATCTTTTCCTTGGTTACCCACGTTCTTTAAGGTGCTATCACTACTACTCTCTTGACCGCAAACTTTATATCGTATCTTTTGTTAACTCTCGATCAACAACCTTTTTACTCTTCCCACATTTTGGTATCATAGGTTGATTCTATTCTCCTTATTCACTTGATTCCTCCTTACAAGTTGCAGATATACCTGATACCACTCAAATTGCTGGCCATAAAACTATTGACTCTACTCACAACCCTTATCATTTTTATACCTTTTTGAATTATGATTAGCGTTCTTCACCACATTTTACCTTTGTGTCTATTTTTTTTGTTTTCATTCCTAATATGACAGGAGAAGTACTAACCCATCTAGGTTAACACTAGATAACGATGGATGAAATCAAATCTCTATACTCTAATAGCACATAGGATCTTGTTCCTGCTCTCCCAGGAAAATTTGTTGTTGGATGTCTTGGATGTTCACTATTAAAGTTGACACTGTTACAAAGCCCAGTTAGTGGTCAAGGATTACTCAGATTTTTTGCCTCGATTTTGGGCATACCTTATCTCTTGTTGCCAAGATGGCCTCTTTTCTTTTGATTCTTGTTTTGTTGTTGTTCATCATAAGCTCTCTTTTTTATCTTGACATAAAAAAAATGATTTCTTAGATAGTAATTTACAGAAAGGAATTTACATGGAGCAACCGTTCAAATTTGTTGCTAACAAGGAGTCTATCCTAATATGTAAGCTCTACAAATTTTTATATGGCCTGAAATAGTCATTTCGGGCCTAATTTAATCATGTCAAGGAACAAAACAGCAAAAAATAATTATTTCTTATTTCTATCAATTTGCATTCATGGAAACTGATTTATTCTCTAAATAAAATAATAAACAGATATTATCAAATACTATTTTAAATCAATTCTGTTGTTCATACTAAAAATAAAGAAAAGAACATTTCTGAAAACATTGTTATGCACACCTAAGACCCACGTTGCATTAAGATATAAGTTTAAATAATTAACCATATTATTAATGGTAGGATATTGTAACAATCAATTAGGGTTACTACTAATGTTATTACCAATCAATTTTCTCGTTAGATCGATTATATTGATCCAAGTCATCCAAAGATTATATTTATTTTCATCTTTGTATGGTTATGATTCCGCATATTTAATACTATATTTATTTCCACTCTTATATGGTTACAATTTCTCATATTTAATATTTTCACATTAAATATTTGAAATCATAATTATACAAAGTTGAAAATATATATAACCGTTGAATCAACGTAATATATCTGACCGTTAAATTATTGGTAGTAACTAATCCTAGTTCGTTGTTATAATATCCTATCCCTTATTATTATTATTATTATTATTATTAAGACAATTCCGGTACATTCAACTGATGAAACATCGTAGTTATTGTCGGAAAATGGACGAAAAAAGAGAGTTCGAGACAAATTAAATTAATAAAATCTATGGACGGCAGGTTTTGTAGGGAGAACTTGTACTTCTTTTAATGATTGTGTTATCAAGTATTGTTAGATTATTAAATATGTTTAAGATCATAACCCCTAACCGCCTATCAAATTTGAACTCATCCTAAAGATGGATGAACTAAGAACCACATAAATAAAACACCTCAAAGCGGGGGCATGTGTTTTACGAAGTCATATGAATTTGTAGCTTCTTGCTGACTAATGAAACAGAGTGATAGAGAGAGACTTGCCAGGTTTCTCGTTAGTCACGACAGTTTCACTTGCCAATAAATCTCAAAACCACCACCATCATCATCATCATTAACATTAGAAGCATTTCAACTACACCATCTCAACTAGCACTATGATCACATTCATTTGATCCCACTTTCATTTTTATTTAAACCACTAGCCAAATCTGAAAAGGGTTAATAAAAAGTACAAAATTGATGCACGTTGATCTAAACATTTCCAATTATGGTTCCTCAATTCGTGGTGTAACTTGTCTCTGGAAAGTTCGGGATTTTGTGCAATCTCAAAGGTTCACTAGTCCCAACTTCGTTGATAAGAGATACTGAAAAGGGTAGCCATGGATTCAACTCTTGCAACCCTGAATGCCAGTGCTAATCTAGTTAGTAATGGAGTAGGAAGAAACAGAGGATCTGGATTCTGGGGTGAGGGTAAAACGGGAAGTCTGAACAGAAGATTTTGTAGTATTCAACCATGCAAGAGTTCTAAAACTAGAAAGTTCAAGCCTGGATTTGCATATGCTGTTTATACACCAGACATCAACAAAGATTCTGTGGTAATCACTAAATGCAGTAAAAAAATTTGGTGTGTGTATGTGTCTATATATATGTTAAAAATAATTAAATAACTAAGATCATTGTTGTGTGTTTATTTTCTCCATTGGATTGTAATGTTAATGTAAAAGCCATATTTTTTTTGTTGGGTCGTTAGTGTTACTTGGTTTGTTGGTCGGTTTGGATGGTTAATTGCAATGATGTGTTTGTATTTTGATTTCAGATATTCCAGGAACCAATTTTTCATAGTCCAAAAGCAAACCCAGAAAATGTAGCTGCCATCATCTTGGGTGGAGGTGCTGGAACTCGACTCTTTCCTCTAACTAGCACAAGAGCTAAGCCCGCTGTATGATTTATTGATTTATATCATTTTCTTTCGGGGTTGTTAATTGATTAATATAAATGGTAGAGTGTTTTTTTTTTCCTTCGGTTCAATGGAATTGAGTAATCCAGTTCGAGCAATGATTATCATAGGAGTGATTTCTTTTGAATATTGAGCCAATCCAAATTGAGGGCACAAATGAATGCACTAACGTTGAAGGGTTCTAATGATTGCATTTCCTTTATTCAAAATTTCTGAATGTGATGAAAATATGCAATTATTAATAATTTAAGCCTATTTGCAGGTTCCAATAGGAGGGTGTTACAGACTCATAGATATTCGGATGAGCAATTGCATCAACAGTGGCATCAAAAAAGTATTCGTTTTAACACAGTTCAATTCTTTCTCCCTCAATGGCCACTTGTCTCGCACATATAATTTTGGAAATGGCGTGAACTTTGGAGATGGTTTTGTGGAGGTAAGTTATTGGTAATATTTCAAAGAAGTGAGTTTTACTACCTTCTAGGAAATGGTGTTTATAAACCAGTTTGAAGAAATTTATCAATGAAGCTATGTTATTGATCTAAGGAGCACAATTTACATTAAAAAAGGTCTTGGCTGCTACTCAAACTCCTGGAGAGGCAGGGAAGAAATGGTTCCAAGGAACAGCTGATGTTGTGAGACGATTTATATGGGTTTTTGAGGTAAGTATTTTTGTAATACAACCAATTCAACTTAAAAGTTCAACTTAAAAGTTTAAGCTATTGTGTAAACGTCATGCCAATGTGGATTGCCATATAGGATGCTAGGAACAAGAATGTTGAGCATATATTGATAATTTCTAGTGATCATCTTTGCCGGATGGACTATATGAAGATTTTGGAGGTACAACTGAAATAATTTCTCATCTAACAGTACATATTGTATCATTTGTAATTTGCTAAAACAAATACTGATTCATGAGAACTGAACTTGCAGAAACATATCAGGACAAATGCTGACATCACAATTTCATGTGTACCCATGAATGAAAGGTACATATCTATATGCAAAATCTATCTGATTTGGTTTGATTTCACAATTAAGGCATACCAACTTACTTGCAAGAGGAAAAAAAAACTTTCACTAACAATAATCTTTATTTTTTTATATATTGTTGTTGGAGTTGATCACTGATAGTTATCTAGCAGCCGTGCATCAGATTATGGGCTGCTGAAAATTGATAGAATGGGACGGATTATGCAGTTTGCAGAAAAACCAAAAGGTTCAGATTTGAAAGCAATGGTATGTTATTAGTCCTTCAACTCCTAACATTTCACATCCCTTTTCCCTCAATAAAAGTTGATTGTTGCCGAGATAATCCATTGTGAGATTTGATAACTGCAGCGTGTTGACACCACTCTACTAGGGTTGCCTTCAGAAGAAGCACAGAAACATCCTTACATTGCATCAATGGGTGTTTATGTATTTAGAACTGAGACCCTATTGAAACTATTAAGATGGAGCTGTCCTTCATGCAATGACTTTGGATCTGAACTTTTCCCATATGCTTTGAGGGAGCACAAAGTCCAAGTGAGAGGGAACTCCAACCATTTATTTGTGACCTATGGATGTTCTTCTTTTTTAAATCTTTGAATGATAACGAAAATGAATCTTTAAATCTTTGTATTTTCAGGCATACTTGTTCAGGGACTATTGGAAAGATATTGGAACTATAAAGTCCTTCTTTGATGCAAATCTGGCCCTAACAGAACAGGTTTGTTTAACAATCCTGCAAATTTCCTCCACATTTGATTTGTAAATTGAAAGGTTATAATTTCAGTGAATATTTTGGCATTCAGCCAATTTGGATCGTTTAGTGCAACTGGAAGCTGAGGGTTGAGTAACCAGAAATGAAATTTAGTCATAGCTGAGGAAAGAGATTAACTGGGGAATTTTCAGAGTTTAGAAGAGTTGAACTAGTATAGTACCCAAGTTTGTGCTGTTAATCTTGATAATAGTGGGGTTAATAATATTATTGAGAAAAATAATGTTACTATTTCATTTTTTGTTTCTATATTTTATTACCTGCAGCATCCAAAATTTGAATTCTATGATCCAAAGACGCCTTTCTTCACTTCCCCAAGATTCCTACCACCCACTGAAGTAGTAAAATGCAAGGTATTACAGAAAGCTTTGACTGGTTTGCTTTGTGGATTTTTGCTGCGGATGAATGCTTGATTGGTTTTCACAGATTGTGGACGCAATTATTTCTCATGGTTGCTTCTTGAGTGAGTGTAGTGTTCAACGTTCCATTGTTGGTGTGCGCTCACGTTTAGAGTCCGGTGCAGAGCTTCAGGTAACCTTAATACATTTTGTACTTTGCACCTTTTGTGGGGAGTGTTGGTGGATAATATGTTGACCTAAATTTAAATTCCATGTAACTATAATCAATACCTATGTACTTTTGTTGGGTGGGATGGATAATTCAGAGAGTAGCGAGAGTAGCAATGAATTGGTATAATTTATGAAGCACCGACACTTCAAAAATCCTGACATGCCGTATTCGACACTCTCCGACACTCCAACACGCGTCGTAGAAACTCAAAAAAATATTCAAAGGATACGTTGTGTTGCGTTTTTAGTTCCAACTATTATATTCATTGTATTACGATTACCATTTTATTGAGTTTAATATAAATATTTGGGATATATTATGTTTCTCTGCAAAATTGATAGCTCTTATAAGTTTAGCTTCATTTTTTGTTAAATTATTGAATGTTAAATATAATATATACTATATAACTTAAAAATATTATTTAATATCAAAACGTGTCCTAATGTGTCAAAATTTAACATTTTTTTAATTAATGTCTCAGAGTGTCGTGTCTCGTGTCCCTATTGGTGTTACATAGGGTATAACACCTAAAATTGAAAATTGTAAGGAGAGGAGGGATCTTCATTTTGCACATCGTTAGGCATCAACCTCATTTTTCCTCATAGTGCATCAACATTTCACCTCTCTCAATTAACTAAAAATCACTTCCATTCAACCTGATTAACTAGATTAGGTTAGGGGTGAGGGCAATTATTATACGTAGCAATTTTTCAAACAGACTATTAGGTGAGGGCAATCCATGATCGACATATAACCTAGTGGACCTCTAGATCCTTGAGTTGAAAACTTTTCATGTTCGACTTTGGCACAAAAGTGATGAATATTGTTCGGTTCTATTAAACCGTATAATGATACCTTAAGGGTATGCGCTCAGAGATATCCTATAGATAGGTATCTTGGTTGGCTTATAGCCAATATCCCCATCTCTGCGCACAAGCAATAGGCTTATAGCCGAGACGTGGGTGTGTGCACAGTGTGGGCAGAAGTAGTAAATGAGTTCCGAGTGTATACCTGGGGTCTTTAATCTCTTATTTATAAGGGTTACCGCTTGGCTGTGTAGATCTCCCAGTTATAGTAGGATTTAACTTCCTTTCTGTTGGGATAGGGACTCTATCCTTAGTTGCCTTACTGTTTTATATTGTTAGGATAATTGGAGAATTATCCTTTTAAGGGATCCTTGGGTAGGTAGTTAGGATATGGAGAATAAAACTAAAAAAATAGGGAGTAAGAATCGTCATTTGCAAGGAATTTGACAGGAATGATTCAATCAGAGAGATGATTACAGAGCATTTAGACTCTAAGGAATGATACATTAATCAACAAGATTCATAATTCATCAGTTAAAAGCTGCAACAAAATTTCTTAAGATCAAGAATAAAGAAGATTTTCTGAAACACTCCCTCACTAGGAATTCAATTCACTCACACTCAACTGTTTAGATGGTTGGTGTTTCACTCGTATCCCACTGAATCAACACTACCATAGGCTTGCTTATATTCTCGCTCTCCACAGTTGTTGTGACATATCTCACAGATCAAGAGGTTTTGTTTAGGGTTATAACTTGGCCTGGTTGAAGGAAGGGGAAATTTAGAGAATGAGCTCCAAGATTAAAATCCAGATTCAAAGAGGAATAAATGTAATCGTTTAACAATTTGTAAACAACTTTCTCCTTCTTGTTGGTCCATTCTTCTTCTTTTTCTTTTGAACTTTTCTCTTGTTTGTCGTTCTCTTTTCTCAGAACAAGTTTTCTTCTTTCTTTTCACTTCTTTTCTTTTTCCTCTTTCTGAGTAATTTTCCTTTTCTTTTTTTGTTTCTTTTTCATTCTAACCAGCCTTACTTCCTTAGCTTTTGCCTTTCTTCCCTATACTCCCATACATCACAATTTATGTAATCAATTAATTATCATCTGTTCCTCAATTCAAATCTGAAAGTTAATCTCAAATAAGGTGAGGATTTATATGGAAAGTGGCTTATTCATCTTCATAAGTTTTCAAAGAATAAATAGGTCTGGGCTCAAAAGGGTTTAACTAAAGAATGTCAGTAATGGTTGGCTATTTAGCCATCTAGTTTAAAGAAAGAACATGCCTCAATCATATCCTGAATCAAATCACTGATCAAATTTCCTACCAATCTTCCATTTAAAAGCACTGAGTAAAACTTTCAGATTTTCACAAAACAATGAATTGGGGTTTTTATTATTTAAAACTCTAAAAAAATTAATTTCAAATTATAAAAAAAAAATGTTGCATTAAAGAAAAGAAAAAGGTTGAGATAGCTCCCTATACTAGCCAGATGTTCCGTGTATACTCATGAAGTTCTCCGGTTCATTTAGTAGTACCACTTGATGGACTACGCGCTTCTCATTCCCAGATTTAAATGTTGTTGTCCCCAGCAACTGATTTAAATCTATAAAAATCACTATGAGAGTTAAGAAATAGTGGATTCCTCTGGAACAACATCAGTCATAAGTATCAGTCATCAGTAGTGAAATACCATACTGCATCACAGGGTTATCTCATACCATAACAATAAAAAGAAATAATCGAAAAGAAAACAGAAATAAAATGAAAATAGCTAAAGTGATCATTCATCAAGCTCCTCCTCGTCCTCTGCATCTCGCACAATGGCGGGTGTCATGACGGTATCCTCATCCTCATCATCTTGGCCCTCTTTTTCAACTATCACTTGATCACCTCTATCTAATTTTTTGTATTTTCTTATTTAATTAACTAAAAGTGAAATAAATAAAATAGAAAAATTAAAAATAGTAGGGTTGCCTCCCAATTAGCACTTGTTTAACGTCACGAGCCTGACGTGCCTGACTTGTGATCATGGTGGCTCAAAGCATGATCTTGGTGATGACTAAGCTCCATCATTCAGAAATTGTGTCCTATCATAGTGCGTTTCTGCATATGGATGAGGTAAATTAGTCTCAGGAACTTTGAACTTGACTTTTGCATGCTTTTGTTTTGCTACTGGGCTTCTCCATCTTAACTTTTGGCTTACTTTCTTGAGAAGACTCCTCATTGTGCTCTTCTTCACTTTTCCTTTCACCAATATAGTAGACTTGATCTTTCGGTTGAGCTACAGATGAGGGGATTTCTTTGTCAAAGAACTTGAATACTGCTTGTTCTCCGTCTATTCGTAAGATCAGCTCACCCTTAAGCACATCAATCAGTGCTCCTGAGGTTGCCAAGAAAGGTCTTCCAAAAATCATAGGAATAGTGACATCTTCCTGTATATCAAGGATGACAAAATCAACAGGAATGATGAATTTGTCTACCTTTACCAAGATATCGTCAATGATGTCATAAGCTTGCTTTGAAGAGCGGTCAGCCAGTTGCACTATTGTTCTTGTGGGCTTCACTTCAGTAATCCCCAGCTTCTTAATCATGGAGAGTGGCATGACATTGATGCTAGCTCCAAGATCACATAAAACATTATCCACTTCCCCTTTGCCTATAGTGCATGGAATGCTGAAGCTTCCTGGATCCTTGACTTTGGTAGGTAACTTCTTTTGGATGATAGCATTACATTCTTCTGTCAGATTTACCGTCTCATATTCCTGCAACTTACGCTTCTTTGATAATAGATCCTTCATGAACCTTACATAGTTGGGCATGTTCTAAAGCTTCGATAAAAGGAATGTTGATCTGCAACCTCCTGAATATGTCTAAAAACTTTGAATACTGCTACTTCTGAATCTCTTTCTTTAATCTCTGAGGATAAGGGATTCGAGCATATGGGGAGAGATCTAAGGGCTTGTCTTGCCTTTCTAAAGCTTTCTTTTTCTCCCACTTAAATAATTTCCTTTCAACTTTTTCAAGATTGCCCTTGTCAACTTCAATAGTATCCTTTGCTTTTTCTTGCTTCTCTTCTTCAACTGATGCTTCTCTATCCTTCTTCTCTTCTTCAGGCTGCTCCTGTATAGGCTGAATCACTGTTCCACTTCTGATGGTAATTGCATTGCAGTGCTCTCTAGGATTAATGACAGTGTCTCCTGGAAAGGTACCCTTATCTCTCTCAGCAAATTGCCTTGACAACTGTAAGCTTCTTATGTAAGCTTCCAAATTTCTTATGTAAGCTTCTTGATTCCGGAGTGCTGATCTGGTTTCTTGCATGAATGCATATGTATCCTCCCTGAAAGCATTTGCACCTTGAATATAGTCTAAAGTGGTCTTAGAGAGTTGTGCGAAGGATTTCTCCCACTCTGAGGTGTTACTTTGTTGTAGGGGATGTGGTTGCACTGGAAGGGGAGGGTTGAGCTGATGGTTGGATTTGTAACTGAATCTTGGATACTGATTCTGATTCTTCCACCCTTGATTGTAGTTATTCCCAAACTGGTTTCTCCCTGGATCATTCTGGTTCTTCTGATCATACCAGAGTCTGTTTACTTCAGCAGTTTCAGGTTCTCTCATCAAATCACAATCTTCAGTAGCATGAGTACCTGCACAAATACCACAAGTAACTTGAGAATTATTAAAAGAAGAAACTTGAGAATTAGACAATTGCTTTGTAAGAGCATCTAATTTTGCTTGTTGTTTCTTATTTATTTGCAATATATGTTCATTCTGGGCCAACAACACATCATAGCCATCAAGCTTCATGATCCCCGCTCTCCTTTGTGTGACTGGAGCATTGTCGAACCCCTGAGAGGCTAAAGATTCCAACAATTCCAGCGCTTCCTCTGGAGTTTTTGTTTTCAATGATCCTCCTGATGCAGCATTCACCAAGGTTCATGTACTAGGCGTCATTCCTTGGAAGAAAATCCGTCTTTTCTCCCAAGCTTCAAAGCCATGTTGTGGACACTTCCTGAGCAGTCCTTTTAACCTTTCCCATGCCTCGTACAAGGATTCTATTTCTTTTTGTTCAAAAGAAGTGATATCTGCTTTGAGCCTTGCCATCTTTGAAGCTGAGAAGAACCTGGCCAAGAACTTGGTCGCCAAATCATCCCAGTTGGTGATGCTTCCTTGAGGCTGTGACCGCAACCACCCTCTTGCTTCTTCCTTCAGTGAGCATGGGAA